GCTTTTAATGAAATAAAAATACTTTTTGTTGTGACAGCCCCTTGTGCACATTCAGATGAAGCTTGATCCAAATAATTCATTATGTTTCCCTTCAAACTTACTTAACTTTTATTCCAAATTCTTATTCAATTTCGAATAAGTTAATGTTCATACTTCCAGTTTTCATATCTATTAGAATTGTCCTCATTTTAATAAACTTTTAAAATTTTTTTTATCTAATACTAACTCAGGAGCTGTTACTGTTACTGTGTCCCACTGAGATTCACTCATAGAGCGAGTGAATGATAATTAAAAACTATCATTAAATGAATATTAATTTAGAACATTTTGAGCAAGAGTGAGAGAGAGAGGAATGTTCTTGAGAAAACTAAATTCAACAAATCTTCGGAACATATTTATCCCGAGAAAGATGTAGTCATTTATGTCAATACCAATAGGATTTCCTTCCATTCATTGAACATGCAATTATTTCCTAATACTTTTTTCCCATAGCTTTTCCCTAATGTGCAATGTTCCTTCAGTGTCCTTAAGATCCAAGATCTCCTTCATGGACAAGTACTTTCCCATGGGCATAATGTTTCCTTTGTCAATATTTGTACCATTCTTCAAAGCATTCAGCATCTTTATTGCATTACAAACAGACTCTATACAGCTTTTAAAGACAGGAAACACTTCCATAACGCCATAGACTAACATACTCAAGTTTGGAATTCTGCAAAAAAAATATTAATAACAAAGAAAGAAATTAAGTGATGACGAAAAAAATTATTCGCAGCGGACATACAAAGTTCATAGTGTTTGGACAACATCAAGTGACAGAAAAAATTGGCAGAAGACAGTCAAAACAGAGAAAACAAATTACTCAAAAAAATAGTTGGCTATTAACAAGCCTTGATTCTTAATGAAGTGATCTTTTTGCTATAAAATAAATCCTTTACTGATCAAGCTTATTTGGTCAACATGGCTGGATATTAACCTTTTTCCTTTTTCTGTTTTTATGAACCTCACCTTCATCTCAGGACATTTAAATGCAAAAAAAGAACTTGGCCAATATCAGCCAACTTGACGTCACGCCTGGTCAATAATGCATTTGCATGCATATACACATAATTCCAACCGGTGACTTCCTTTTCTGGACTAAGGACAAATCTTTTTTTCGTAGTTGACCCCTTAAGTATGTAACCCATAGTTAAAAATCTGGAATGTGAAGGACCTCAACATATTCAAGGTGGAAAATCATTTCTTTGAGGTGTTATGATATTTTGGGGAATCTAAGAGAACATTAAATTGGAAAAGATCCAGTGTTAGATACTGAGTAGATGTGAGTGATTTGATTTAAAAATGCATATACAAGCTGTAGAGGGTATGAGAACTTAAAACACTGCTCATGCTTTTGCCGAGTGCAGTACATATTCAGATAGCAATACTGTGCATTGAATTTTGTAATCATATTGCAGTCTAGGGCCTTAGGCTTCTAAGTATGTTTGACATATACAAAGAGACATTTTTTCACACAAATGTTTTGTGTTTATAATTAATTTATTTGTATCAAGAGACTACATTTCTAGAGTACAATGTTTTACTGTAAAACCTGTGTTTTAGCCACTCTGGGGAAAAAAAAAATCCCACCCTTTGATTCATCCTGTGTGTGAGTAAAAAAAAACTCTACCCTACAAAGAAAAGTGTCACACACCTGTATAAAATTACTTTCAATATCTTGCTAATTACTAACACAATTGTGTTATCCCTCCCTTAATAAAGCAAGGTTTGCACCTAGTTTACAATGCAGAAACATCATTTGCCCCCTGCCAGTTATTTTCTGGTATGTATCTTTTAGTCTCTTTTACCAAATCAATTACCTTCTCTGCTGGTATAACATTAATATAGTTAAATGGTGTATGTGTAGATGTTAGGGCATTATATAGTTTAAATATAAGCTTAGCTGACGTCGAGGCTATTGATTTCAACTTTTCTGTTTTGTATTCTTCATTTTTATCAAATTTCATCATTTCGTTCATGGATTCTCGTTCTTTATTATTAAATATCTCTTGTGTGTGCGTCTCTTTCACAACACCAAGGACCATTATCTTACTGTTGATCCTGCGCATCACAGGGCCACCTGAGCAACCAGAGGTGAGCGAGGCATTCATTGTCACTATTGGATCTCTATACAGTTGTTCCTTGTACCCAGATACGTACCCTTTTACAAAAAAAGCTGTTGCTCCTGTGTGAGTTATTGGGTAACCAAAACAAAAAAGCGACTCACCTATTAACAACTTTTCTGCAGATAAACTCAATGGATAAATTTTGCTTTTAACCGAATTAAGCTTTGGACAGTGTAGGCAAGCTAAATCATTCTTATCATCAACCTTAACAACTGTAGAGGATGACAGTTCACCAATTACTTCGTTAAAAATAACAAGCCTATAACTTCCTTTATCTCCATACTTTTCTTTATCTTCGAGATACTTTTGGATAACGTGTTTATTGGTAATAATACAAAAATTATCTATGATAAACCCAGTTCCATACTCAATAATTTCCAATGTGTTGGCGTTCTCACGTTCCGTCCAAATGCTAGCTCTTTCATTGTCGACTTCCTCTTTGAGCTCCTTATTGCCCGCTCCTGGTTTTGGATGTTTTTCAATCAGCCTCTTTTTGTCAAAAAATTCAACAGCTTGTTTTATTTGAAAAATGTTGAAAGTGGCCTCGCGGCTTTTCCGTATCAAAGGAAAGATGTCGGTATCTTCTTGTAGAGTACCTGTGAAACAGTCTCTTACTCGACGTTCGGCCTCATTGCGGGAATATTCACGTTGCTCAAAGGGGTCTTCTTTAGCATTCTCGCATTCTTGTGAAAGCCCATACCTGTTTGTATCGATTGCTTTCTTTAATTCTTCACATCCATTCCCTTCGTCTTCTGGATATTTGCAAAGTTTCCCTTCGTTGTCAAGTTCTTCTACTGCGCTAGAAATGTCTGTGATAGTGTACCTCTCTCCAACCTTGTGTTTTAGTAGTCCCTCATCTCCAGCAAAGTTCCCAGTGAAGCAGTCCCTTACTTTTCGCTGTGCAACAACCCAGGAATAATTGCTTAATTCTTCGGGGTTAACTTTGGCTTCTTCGTACTCTCTGATAACATCGGCTCTTCGTTTGTCGATAGCTGCCTTCAAATTTTCACTTCCGGGTAATTCTTTAGGGTATTTTTCAACGTAATTCACTTCATCATAATCAAGAAGGGCTCGATAAATTACATTTATGTTATATGTTTTCACCTCCGAAATATTATGTCCATTACGTTCGTCATAAAGCTTAAGTGGGTCGAATAGAAGCCACGAGTGAAATCCTCGTGGAAGTTCACCTCCATAACAACGCTTCAATCGTCTGAGAGCAGTCTTTCGATCGTATTCCTGAAGGTCTGGACCACTACAAGTCCGAATCTTGACACAAGAATTCAAGGCTTTTCGTCCATCGTTGCCAAGTACGTCTTCGCTGTCCATGGTTCGAAGTTGCAAATCCTACGTAAGTTTTCCTGAATACGTATTAGTTTCCTACCCTTTTTTTAACATTTTAAATTATGATAATTTATTTTTTGTTTTGGGTTTCCCCCACCCCCTCTTCCGGGGCGGGGCTGCCGCTTGTTCAGAGCTGTTTTCCTAGAAGTTGCATTTCTATTTTCTGTGCGGTAGCATAGACGCTGGCCACACGTGTCCAATGTAGTTGTAGAAATCAAGTTGGTGTCGCTTACATCAAAAGCGATGGATGAGAACGTAAAGAATAGTTCAGTATTACTTTCACTGCAGAGTTAGACAAGTTCGACAATTGAACACGAACATGTGCGCGTCACCTGATATCAAGTCGTCCCAAGGCTATTCCCAGGTACCGTTGTGCTTACTTCCTCTGACGTAATGTGATAGAGTGGTTAATCATATCTTGTGATATATCGAGCAACACTCGGCTCGGGACTGGTTAAGAGACTCCTTTGTTGTTTTGTCTTCAAGCAAAAGTTCTCATTCAAGGGGGGTCGGGGTAATGAGTGGAAAATTTGACCAGTATTTTCCGGTAACAACGGATGAACAACCTCTGCTAAATTCAGGAAAACTTGTTATCCGCTTGGTCATTGCGAACCCGATCATTGGCTTCTCTCACACACATTACTTCTCTTGAAGTTCTATCGTTCTTCGTTAACATAACGTTGTCATAACCTAAGAAGAACAATCTAAGCGATTTTCGACCAAAGGATACGTTATTGTTCACGATTTATTTGCAGTCTTGCTTTATTTACAGTCTTCATTGATCGACTTGCGACTCTAATGACAACATTTTACCTACAAAAGCACAATGTGGCGTCATATCACAATTGTTTTATTTCTTTAATAGTTGAAGGTCATTGATCATGGTTCGTCAACATAAAACTATATATTTTTGACGCCTCATCCTTATCTGTCGGTGGTGAGATCGATTGAGAGGTCAAAGTTGTGATCATTTGTCTACGTCACGAAGTCTTTCTTCATTCACAGACGTTTATGACAAATCCACACAGTGACTGAATGTAAAATCGGGGTAAAGATGGCTATGGAAAGTCAGTGGGATATATTCCACTTGGAGGATAAACTTCATACAATTTACCGGCCTTTTGAAATTCTAAAACTTCAAGCGAGGAAATCTTTACGATCTTCTTACGCTTTTGCATTGCTTCTCTCCCTTAGCTGGGAAGTGACACGCAGAAGACACGATCACAACGCACCTTGATTGGAAGAAATAAAATCACACTCTATTGGTTGTTAGGTGTGAGGACATAACTACAACGGAAGACACAATCCATAAGGCTTCATTGAGTTTTTGACCGCGCGGGATCTGGGTGCGAACATAGCGCAAGTTTCAAAACTGTCAACATGGTGGCTCGAAGGGTGGCTCGATACGATGGCACGATTGTTATCTGAAAAGTATGTTAAGATTTGTGAAAACTCACGGTGGCACGAAGGGTGGCTCGATACGATGGCACGATTGTTATCTGAAAAGTATGTTAAGACTTGTGAAAACTCATCCTCACTAACGCACCAAAGATAAAACAGAGAGAGGAAACCATTGCATTTTTACAGAAGAGACTGCCTGACTGTGTTATTGAAGAATAAATTTTTAACAAATTAGCCTTATTTAACACCTAACAATTACTACCCTGGGTGACAAAATTGCTAAGGTATTAGCATGATATCAAGAAGTAATGACATCATGAAAGACATCGAAAGGAAAAGGGAATAAGAAATACTTTTTATGTTGTGAAAGCCCCTTGCGCATATTCAGATAAAGCTCAATACAAATAATTCATTATGTTTCCTGTCAAACTTACTAAAAATTTATCCCATGTTCTTATTTATCCCATGAGTTAATACTCGTCCTTCCAATTTTTATATCTAGTAGAATGGTCGTTATTTTGATCAACTTTTAAAAAGTTTTATCTAATACTAACTTAGGAGCCCTTACTGGACTGTGTCCCACTGAGATTCACTCATGGAGTGAGTGAATAATAATTTAAAACTATTAGTAGATAAATATCAATTAAGAACACTTCTGAGCTAGAGTGTGGGAGAGGAATATTATAATAGCATTCTTGAGAAAACTAAATTCAACAAATCTTTTGAACATTTTCATCCCAAGGAAGTTGTTGACATTCATGTCAATACTGAAAGGATTTCCTTCCATTTACTCAACATGTGATTATGTCCCTAAAATTTTTTTCCTTAACATTTCCCTAATGTGCAATGTTCCTTCAGTGTCCTTAAGATCCAAGATCTCCTTCATGGACAAGTACTTTCCCACAGGCATGTTTCCTTTGTCAATTTTTGTTCCATTCTTTAAAGCATTCAGCATCTTCATTGCATACCAAACAGACTCTGTACAGCTTTTAAACACAGGAAACAGCTCCATGTGCCATAGACTAACATACTCAAGTTTGGAATTCTGCAAAAAATATCAATAACATAAAATAAATCAAGTGATGATTAACTACAAATTTTTTGGATCATAAAGAAATGACTCTATAAGAACCGAACCAAACCATGTAGTAAAGAATACAAGCCTCAGACATAGCTTGATGCTACTCTGGTTTGCAGATTTAGTGGATGTAAACGAAGAAGTTACAATTCATAGACCCAACGTTTTGACACTCCTGTCTAGTGTCTTCATCAGGGGTCTGAATACAAGCCTCATTAACTGTTTTGGTTGCTAGAAAGTAATTCTGGATTTTGTAACATGAACCAGTAACATAACAGTCAGAAAACACATGCTATTACACCAAAATATAAGCAATTACATGATCATGACTTAACACAGCCTTTAGCCCCTAAGAGTGACTAGCATCTAATTTCTCCTTACAATATCACCCCTAAATTCAAACATGAAAGTTACGAGAATAGAGGAAATGTGAAATTAGAAGATCCTCGCAGCTAAGAACACTACTGAAACGAGTAGTTGTAAATAGGACCTGAAAAAAATTTCAGGCCCGTACGGGATTTGAACCCATGACCTCTGCGATACCGGTGCAGCGCTTTACCAATTGAGCTAACAAGCCAACTGGGAGCTGGTCAATGAATTGGGTACAAATAAACATCCAAGTGAATGAAGATTTAGATATATGAAAATTCACATATTTGCACTGCGGTGGAAAGATGAAATTAGGAGATCCTAATAGAGGAAATGATCACCAACTGAAGTGGCTCTTGACTGTTACACAAATTCTCCTTGTCAGTCTCTTTGAAAATGTATGGAGAACAGTATAGAGAATATGCATACTGATGTTGGCAAGCAAAGGATTAAGGTGATTCAAAGTGGTTTCACTTTAGGATAGTTACTGTAGCTTTTCACACTATTTGTTTTGTTTCCTTAGAGATGGTATCAATGAAAATAACTGCCAAGTAATTAGTCAAAAGCTGTGATCATTTTCTTGGAAATAAAAGGTTGTAACAGCAGCACAATGGCCTCTTAGAAACACCCCTGGTTTCAGACTACTTGATATACAAAACAGGTAGAGTGGCCCTAATCTTTAATCATCAATTTGCAATATCACATGTCAAGATTCATGCAGTACAGAGCCATCTTAAGTATTTTATGCCAATATCAAAGGAACACAAAAAAGTATGGTAATGGTTACAGTATCAGTCCCTTCAAGAATTGGTGTTTATTAACCCTTTGGCCCTTAAGAGTGACCAGCATATAACTTCTCCTTACAACATCACCCCTGAATCACACATTTAGGTTTAGAGAATAGAGGAAATGATCACCAATTAAAAAAGCTCTTGATTGTTCAACAAATTCTCCTTGTCAGTACCCTTGGAAATACATAGTATGGAGAATATGCATACTTATGTTAGGGTGTAAAGAGTTAATAAGGAAAAGGATTGAACCATTTTGAGCTACCCCAAACTTGGTTATGAGAACATGTAGGAGATCACTACCTGCACCAAATCCAACAGTGACATTGCTTTATCAAGTGGTAAGCCAAAGTACTGCAGTTTTGCAAGATCATCAGATGGTGCCATCTTTTTAACATTGTCTTCAATACCAAAGACAACAGTTACATACAACCCACTGACATTGTCAACTGTAACACAGACAGTCATCATGAAGGTATTGTCAGGGATGCTAGCCCCTGAAGGAAGCTCTACATTACTGACAATGCAGTTATTGCCAACAGAGGCTTCAGCTTGAATGTTGCAGTATTCCAACAGTGTTCTCTGTCCCACACTTGATGGCAGAGTCTGGTAACAGTGTATGAGACATCTTTGATCAGTGGTGATTTTCTCCTCACTGGGCCCACTTCTTTTCACCATTACTTCTGAGAGAAAGTGACTTTCATATCTAGTAAAAACAAAAACACAAAAAGTTAAGAACAGGAAAGTATTCACTCAGTCACAACCTACCATTATCTCTATCACAAATTCAGTTCATTCCTGTAATAAGCCTCAACCTGAAAAAGTAAGGGTGTCCTGCATTGCCCTTTGATGTCAGTAATCCACAGTACTGAGGCCTTACCTTTTGAGGCCACAGTCTAAATTTTCCATTAAGCCCCTCCTTACCTTCCCTAACCTGAGATTAATTTTTCAATTTTGCTTCCTCTGCAAGAGTATTTTCACAGATCAAAGCACAAACAATGAATGAGGAGAATGATGAGAAAATAAAATATGAAGGTGATGTAGATTATGTACATTGTTCAAAATGCTGACAAGAGAGAGAAAAATCCTATTTGTCTCAAATGGTTTGGTCTCCAATTTCACACTAAACAATCTCCAGTATCAAGTATCAAGGTCTGGGCAGTTGGGTATTAACCCTTTCCACCCTAAAATTGGTATTTATATTCTCCACACTGTTCTCTTTACATTTCTTCTGATACAGACAAGGAGAATATGTTTGACAATCAGGAGCTTCCTAAATTTGGAATCATTTCATTTACATTCATGACCTTACATCTGATTTTAAGGGTGATACTGTATCAAGAAATTGGAAACTAGCCTCTCTAATTTGCTACAAAATTAATCAGGAACTCAGTGTACAAACCACTTGTTATAGAATGGAAAAAACAAATACATATTTGATTACATAGATATAATTTTCTTTGTATTTGTTGATGATTAAATTCTTACCTAAAAACTTTGTCGTCGCAGAAATGGTGAATACATTCCATAGTGGTGCCTAAGTGGTAGAACTTGGATTCATTAAGTAACAACACATTTAATTGTGTTCCTTTCAGGAACTCAAAAATCTTCTTCCTCTTTGAAATCAAAGAGGAAGTCTCCTTTGTGACATTGGCAACATTCTTTGTGTAATCTGCTGATGCCTCAGGCCCAAGAGCTTGCAAGAAATCACCATAAGCATCAATTTCACAATCAATTGGTTGGATCTGCTGAGAAAAGTCATAGAGATTCTTGGCTGTTCTCCAGTCCACAAAAAAGACACTGTCAGTGTAAACATACTCTTGTTCATCACAGAGGAATACAATGCCATGCTTTCTCATTATGTCCATTGATGGTTTGTGGAGAAATTTCTTACATGTTGTTTGAGTGATTGGGCAGCCAGCCTGATGGACAAAATGAAAAGTAATGTTTCATTAATTTGGTAATGTTGAGAAATTCCAAAAGTTGTTACACCACATATAAGCAAAGAAAATAATTCAAAGTAATGTTTTCACACTAACTAAATTTGGTTTCAGGCAAAGGGTGCTACAGGGAAAATGATGCTATAAGACTATTTTGAGTGATAGCAAATGTATTTTAAGGAATTCCAACTGACACTCAATAACAATAAAAAGATTTTCATATTAAGGGCATTTTCCATTTTTTTTTTTTTTTGTTACAAGCTAAGGCTAAATCTAATTTATGCAAGGTTAAAACCAAGTCAATGTAGCTGTTTCACTGATGGAATGTGCAAGGCCCTAAGGAGGTTTGCCAGGATATTGCAATGTATTTTATCTATTTCCCTTAGGTCCTTTACCTACCATGTTTCCTCTACCTCACCCTCCCCTCCCCTTCCACTTTTGAATGGGTATTCATTCCTGACACTGATTGTTGGTCAGTGTTGTGTTGAAAGGTGCCTGATTAGAAGGGGGTTGGGTTGGCTGACCACCATGCAAAATCTGTAGCATTTACTTAAATCCTGCAAAACTTTCATATTGCATCCACACTAACCTGAACAGATGCTAACTTTTCATGATCATTAAGAACAAATACACCATGTGTTGTACCAATATGAATTGGAGAAGGATGAGCCAAAGCTGTGAAGCCTGGTTTAGTGAATGACCAATCTCCTTCACTATTAAACACCACTAGGATATCCGAAGCAGCCACAAAGATGCCTGGGTTCATATGTCGTGGAAACTCAATAAACATAGCAAGCTGAAGTTCTAACATTTGGTAAGGTGGATCACCTGCCAAAGCAATATGAAAGGAGGAAATTTTCATCTATTAGATCTTTTAGGAAACTTTTAATCCTCAACATGGGTTGAACTGTGAGAATTTGGTCCTGTATCATGATTATTGACAGTTCAATTGACATGATATTCTTTTGTTCTAAATCAGCATCTTTTGCGGCAATTGCTCTGAAGTTATGGAATCAGCTACCGCTTGCCATTAGACAAAGTAACTCTGTTCATAGTTTTAAAAGGGCATTGAAAACGCACCTGTTTTGTGAAAGCTCTTCCTTTTAGTTGTAAAAAGCATCAAGAAAATTATATGTAGAATGCCTTTTTGAGAACTCTAATTATTATTATCTTCTTTCCTTTGTAGCTCTGAAGGATTTGACAATTAAGAGGGGGGAAGTTTCATGCTGGACACCCCAGGTGAGACCAAAGGGTATCACATCACCCCTACCCTGAGTTCAGCTAAGAAGCATCCATCCTTCGCCTCCCCCTCCCCCACACCCAAAAAATGTTGTTTTCAATATTTTCTATAAAGATTTAAGACTACATGACCATGACCATCCACAGAAAAATACCTCTTACTCACATTGAAAACCAACAATAAGAAAGAAAGCAGTTTGCAATTACTCTCTCATAATCATTTTGTAACATTTTCCTTTATTTTCTAATTCCAAAAATATTTATTTAAAATTAAAGATTTAATAGAAACAAATTATTAAAGGACAAAAAAACTGTTTCAACATGAAAATGTTTGTACAAATTTCTAGAAAGCTGTTCAACATCAAAGGCTATTTTTAAGCTTTCTCCTTTGAAAAAAGCAACATTTGGTTTTACGACACCATTCAACTCATTCATTCTTTTAAACCATGATATAAGTCAGCAATTCACCCTTAAACTCACAGAGGTGATTAGGATGCAACTTCTCCCTATTATATTCATACATCATCCAGCAAACAGATAATAAGAATACTCAAATTTATCAAGTAGAAGTTGATATCTTGAACTAACTCCAAATTCTTATAACTAATTTACTGGGAAATGTGCAGCATTTTGAAGGGAGAATTTACAACTGGATCTTGGGATTTAAAGGGTTAAATATAAAACTGAATTTAATATATTATATTAACTGTTCTTTACTCTCTTCACTGCCTTTCATGGTACATTCATCACATAGGTACCCAAACCTTTTCTTGTAATCATTTCTCTCTTAAAATGTCACTTACACAAAAGGTGTTTAAAACAATCATTAGCTTCCATTGTACATCATAACCAAGTCCTCATTCCATACCCATGGTGACCAAACCATTTTGAAAAAAATGCCCAAACTGATGTTAAAAAAACTTAAGTTTGAATTCAGTTCCTCACTCATGTTTGGTTTCACTATATAGAAAAAATCACACAACTGTTGCTTACCCATCAAAACCATTCTGAATGACAACAAAACATTATTTTTTAACCAAAGGAGTATTTTTAATGAATTGTTTCCAGAGAAACAGTCTGGTAAGCTTTTCTTGTAATCATTTCTCTCTCAAAATGAAACTTGTATTAAAATTAACGCAGGTGTTTAACACAATTGTTAGCTTCCTTTGTGCAATTACTCATTCCATCCCCATGGTGATGTGGACCACTTTAAAGAAACTTCCAAAAATGATGTCTCCATGGTGTTTGGTTTCACAAAGAAGAAAAATAAAACAATTGATGCTTATCCATAAAAAAAAATTCTGTATGACAACAAATGTCCAATCAACAAACCGTTATTTTTTAACAAAAGGAGTCTTATGAAAGGATGGTTTCTTTGGAAACATTCTAGTTAGCCTTTTCTTGTTATCATTTCTCTCTTAAAGTGAAACTTGCATCAATTTAAAGCAGGTGTTTAACACAATCATTAGCTTCCATTGTAGATTATAAGCAAGTCCTTATTCCGTTCCCATGGTGTCCTTAACACCACTTTGAAGAAACTGCCATAAATGATGTTGAAAAACTGAAGTTTGGATTCAGTTTCTCCCTGATATTTGATCTCACAAAGAAGAAAAATCACATCATTGATGCTTACCCATAAAAAGAAAAAAAACATTTCTGTATGACAACAAACACCATCAGTTTCTTTCTGATGTTTGATTTCACAAATAAGAAACATCACAACTGATGCTCACCCATAAAAAAGAATATCCTGTATGACACCAAAAGATAATTAGCCAAAACGTACATGTATTAAATTAAACAAAGGATTATTTGAAGGGATAGTTTCTTTGGAAACATTCCAGCCATGAAAACATTCACCTGCAGCAAATAATAGTTTTCAAATTTTGGAAAATTTATACTCAATATTTCTTGCAAATGTGAAATTCCTTTATAAAATATTGCCAAAAAGATGCCTGGTGTGAATAAGTATCAAGATTAGACAAATATGTCACTTCTATAGGAAAACATTTTTATTCGAATGCTCATGAGAAAGTTCTTTACGTGTTCATACTGTAAATAAATATGCATGCAGAAAACTTGACATGAAGATACATGGCAAATGCACAATTAATACTAGGATAGAAAGATCTTAATTCAAAATTTAAAACTCCACGCAGTTAATACTTTTCAAACTTTTTAAACTTACCAATAGGAAGGGCAGTGAATGCTTTTCCCAGAACACTTGCGTTTGGCAATCTTTGGCTATAACCTCCGGCAGGTAACATAATAATCTTCGAGTTCATCAACTCCTCCTCTTCATAAATCTTTAAAAGATCACCAATAGTGACAAGTACTGATCCACCATTACCGATTTTCGGCCCGGGCGGGTCATAGAACACATGATATTTTACCCCAAGGGGTAATTCTCCTCGCGCGAGCTTAGACTGAAGTTGAAGATCATAGGCATTTTTTTGACCTTCATCGAGAGCAGTAATCACAACTATGTCCCAGAAGGGAATATTAACTTCTTTTCCACGGATTGAATCAAAAATTTGTAAATTCTGTTGCATTGATCTTCGTATGTTGCGGCTTATTTGAGAGAAGTCATGACCCTCCGCGTCTGCCATCTTCTCTTCCTCTGACACAAGCAGAGTGAAGCCTGGTGCAAATATATACACCGGAGTCCAGGCCCTTCCTGAGCTGTAAAAAAATGGCGGATGTTGAATCTCTGTTCGAATTCGTCCACATGGAAATTGTGGCATACTTTCTCAATAAACCTGGAAAAAATGTCGATGTGAGTATTAATTTGATTTCAAATTGTTCTAGATTAATTTAAGATAACTGAAACGTAAATGGTGATAGTAATTGTCGTGTTTGATCCTTTTAGAATGATGTTATACAAAATCTTGAACGCCTTGGGTTTGGAGTTGGGCAAAGACTTGTGGAAAGGTAAGGATATTTGATCCTTCTCGACCCTTTACCACCCTAACATCAGTTTACACATTCTCCAAACTATTTTTCATACATTTCGTAGCCTGCTGATAAGGATAAGTTGTTTCACAATCAAGAGTCTCTTTAGTTGGTGATCATTTCCTTGTATTCTCACAACCTTATATGTGATCGCAGGGGTAAAATTGAAAGGAGAAAGTAGAAGCTCTTTACCCTTAAGGGTTAAAGGGTTAAAAATTATATATTTATCTCAAGTGTGTATGGGTTATGATTCCCTAGTCAAATGTGCTACAGATTGTTGCTTTCGAGTCATTCCTAGAGTCTTTCATTTTGTGGAATTCCCTGCAAGTCTATTGATATATTAATTTGCAAATTGAAAATCCAGTGATTTATGGAAACTTGAATAATCATGGCTCTTCAATCACTTTGTAGATTCACTAAAGATTCAGGTCGCTTTAAGGATGAACTTGAGATCATGAAGTACATTTGTAAAGATTTCTGGACAGCTGTTTATAAGAAGCAAATTGACAATTTACGAACAAACCATCAGGTAATAAATGTAAATGTAAACTTTGCTTACATTGAGGATATTTTAGACTCTTAAATTGCATTATCTACAAGAGGAATCACATTTAAACAAGTGCTATCATAGCATGTAATCTTCACCTAATGGTATTATATTAGATATCATTATTGTCATTAATAATTCTTATTTTTCACCTTAGGGTACATATGTACTCCAGGACAATAATTTTCAGCTGTTGACACAGATGTCAGATGGAAAACAATATACAGAGGATGCACCCAAGGTTTAACTTGCAAAATTTGCTTTCTAATTTTCATTTTTTAGCTCCAAACACTTTCATGTAAATATGTAAGGAGAAGAAAGTGTTAATTCAAGATGAAGATATCACTTTCTAGCCAATGCATATATCTATCTTAAATGACGCTGTATCCAACTTGTGAGAAGTTACACTCAAATCACTTTTGGGAGTTACAACTATTCCAGAAGCTGCTATCTATGGTCTAATTCTCAATTCTCATGCATTGAGTTAGAGACTCACACAAACAAATTCAATCTTATGTTCTCACACTGAAACTATTATTTCTCATGCTTTTATGGTTTCTTGTTTAAACTGTTCATTCTTAGATCACAAAATCCTGTTTTAGCATAATAGCAATGAAATAAATTATCTTTATTTAAAAGTATAATTTAGTCCTTTATTCCTTTTGTACTTGGTTTGAACACTTTCCAACAGCGGAAATTCTTGCTTCAAATAAAAGAATACATGTCTTAGCTACTTCATCAGTTTTTAACAATTTTATGGGGAGCTGTCCCATACCCCCCTTCTCAGGTAGTTGATGCCAACAGCATCTCACTCCTTGCCAAATCAACTTGAGAGCTCTGGATTAAAAATGATAGAATGTACACATCTTAGCGATGGTGTACCAGTGTGTAGACTCAGCTTGCCATACTAGTTTATTGCATTTTTTGTCAAGATTAGGCATTTCTGTCTCATAGTTCACAGACCACATTGTGTTTTAATATACATTTTTTTTTCAGTTCTTAGCCTTTCCATGTGGTCTTATAAGAGGAGCTCTATCAAACCTTGGTCTTACCTGTTCAGTGAGTGCGGATGTGTTATCCATGCCTAAATGTAAGTTATCATCTCTTCATTTACACTGGGGCAAGGTTGGAGATATAGCAGCCTTACAATAAGCTTGCAAGGCTGTACATCAGGCCCCAGTTGTTTGTAAGGTGGATAATGTTATCCATGGGATAAATCTGTATCTGGGAGATAGGGCAATATATTTTTTTGAACACTCTGATGGATAGTGTTATCTGCCCTTTGAACAACTGGGCTCAGTTGTCAGTTGTTAGTCCCATTCCAGGTGATCAGATTGTGTGAAAGTGCTTTGCAATTGAGTGTTGTAGAACTGCTGAACATTTGTGAATGCTGAGTTTTGAATGATGTCACAAATTTTTTTGGTTTTAGTTTTAATTATTTGTAATCTTTCCTACTTTATCTGGGTGTGGTTGACTTTATTCTACTTTGCTTTACAGGTAAATTTCAAATTGTCATTCCAAAATCATAGCAATGATTTTACAGAAACTCACATTTTAAAGGTCTCTTCCCTGAATGGAAGAAGAGAGATTTTTTTTCTTAAGACTGGTGATACACCAGCACTGTATGCGAGAACATGCATTATTGACAAGTTGTAGAGCTACTGAAAAAGAAAGCCAAGTTTGAAGTTTTCTTGAACTTTACTAACTACAGATTGTATATAAATTATCAGTTATTTGTAGAAAGTTAATGTAATTGTATAAAAATGACAATCTCTGAGTCTTTTATCTACCTTGTATTGTGTCCTAATATCATTTCAAAGGTTTTTACTTTCTTAGTGGTTGTTTTGGTGAATGACGTATATTATAGGCTTTATAATCAATTTATTACAGACTGCCAATACCACATGGTGATCTATCTCAAATATTCCTAATAATAATTGATTGAAGCATATTGTTAAGTGTTTATTCCTCTGCATTATGAATGTGCCTATCATCTTAAAGAGATAGGATCCAATGTGGTGAAATGTTTGCAGTTTATGTTGATCAAGTTCAGATGCATATGATTTACAAATGGTTGCTTTAAGAATTTTGCATTCATTGTTAGATCACTACGATTTTCTTGTTTGCCTCTGCCTCAGAAACAGTGACCAGTTGTTTTACAAATTAGGAAGCATTTCCACATAGGGAGATGGTAGAGCTCTAAATGAACATTTTCCTTCTATTTGTGTCAGATGGGAAATCTTTGTGGTAGCCTCTGATAAGATATGGGAGCATCCTGATATGACTTTTCAGTGATGTGTTCCCTATGCTAGACTTGAGTTAATCAGTCACTGTAATATTCTATGGAGGCTTTAATAACCCTCCCCCTCACCCTCCCCCTCACCCTCACCCTCCCTGTGGGGGCTTCCAGATTGAGCATTGTCTGGAGGGAAAGTTGGGAAGGGGTTTTATTATGGAGGGGGGTGAATAAGAAACTTTATTTTCTGGATGAGTGGCTTTTTTTTTTAAAGAGAGAGGAATGTAAAGGGGCATTTTTGTGACATATATACATGGAAGAAGGGCAAAATGATCCTTAGTACTGTATTTTTTGTCCAGGCTTCTTACGTCTCCATCATTTTCTTATTTTTTCGGATCTTTTATCATGAAGAAGAACTTTAAATGGGATACCAAATGCAAACACTGTCAAAGACTGTATTTTGAATGTGCTGTTATGTGCAAGTTTATCATTGACAAAACATTGTGAAGAACACTTTATTTCCATAAAAATGTGTGCATGAGGTAGTTGCATGAAATGAAAACAAATACACAAATGTTTAGTGTATTTTAAAGCTTTGCATGTGTTGCAAGCGTCTTCTTTTTTAAAAGGTCAGCCAATCATCTTATTTCCTTTGTTACTTTCCATCTTTTCAAGAACAACACCTTCTGTGAAGGTTGTGCTTTGAAGTCTCTGAAAAAAGTAAAAAAGACAGAGAAGGAAAAGAAGGGTGAAATTGATTACCACAGCAGGGAGGGAATACAAATGTTCGACATAAATTAAGAAATTGAGGAATTCATGAAATTAATCGAGAAATTGTTAAGAAAAACCCAATAGCTATCAAATCTTTTTCCTTTGTGAATGCACAGCTTCTGTTCTTTCAGTCTATACTACTTTCTTTTTTTAGCGTTAAAGTGAATACCAATTGGTGAGAGTTCCAGCCAGAATTTTATACTTTAATGCACTTTTTCCACTTTGATATTCTAATGCATAAAAACACTCCAAGAAGGTTAACACACCTCTAAAGAAGAGCCTTCAGCATTACAGAGCACTTTGATAGCGGTGATGGGTACACACAACATAGAGGCACAGGCTATGATCCAACCCAGGCCCTCAGCCCATTTAGGGTATGGTCTTTCCTCGTATGTCAGGGGCTGATACTTGATGACACTGAACAGGAAGATTCCCTGAAATAAAACCGGTGGGGTAAGCAAATCTTAGACTACGAGCAGTTCTGCCTTTCGGCAAAGTCCGTCGTGCGAGTCAAAAATATCAGTGAAAACGCAAAATAGCAGGCTTGAAACAAGGCACGTTTTTGTCGCGTATGATCCCATGTTTCTTGAATGAGTTTCTGTAAAATCTTAACTTCAGATCTCCCAGTAATTATGGTAATCCTATTATTTTATCAGTCTGACCCTACTGCCAAGATTCTCGTGTTTAGTGATTATTGAAACTGGAGATGAGCCGTTCCCAAATTATTTATAGTGATTTCTAAACTTAATCACGAAATGCAAGCTATGGCAAATACAATGCGTAAAAGAAGTTTGATCTTTATTTACTTACAATCACCATCACAGGCGAGACAAACTTCCAACAGATCACCCACCACTTGGACACAGGGTACCCAATAGTTCTCGCGATTTTCTCTGCGAAGTTTTGCGCTCCTGCATGATCAACAGTGTGACGAGTAAACGAGTGTTATTTGCAACTATTCTTCAGAAGTAACTTAGTATTATCAACCGAGTAGATAACGTAAATTGATCACCGTTAAGAGTTTAAAAGACGACGCAGCACCATAGTTTCTATAGAAGCTTACCCCCTTTATTCTACAGAAGTGGTTCTTTGTACTAAATATTTAAATGCGAGTTGGTTACCCTGCGAGAATGAGCCGAATGTCGACGATGTCATGCTAAGTTTAATTAGACAAATTTTTTAGTTCATCAATCTCAATGAAAAAGTTTAATTTGTGTAAATCGGTATCATGCAAAAAAAGACCAACAAAGTGTGGTAAATGTGGGCCTACAGTAATTCAATGACGACAAAGGTTTTCAAAGAGAAAACGCGGGGAAAATTCGTTCTAGAGGATAAAATTGGGCAAAAACATTAACTGGGAGCAGGCCTTACTTATTAGCGCATCAGCAAGAGCACATACTGTAGTGCTAAATAATGAGGGTTTCCTCTTCCAGACCAATAGAATAAAATTATTTGAATATGTGTCATTCTCACCATAAATCCAGCCGACAACCATCAACTCAAATATTACCAAAAATAGTAACGAAATTCCAGCAGAAAACGAATCAAGCAAGTTGAACACGTATATACCTCCCTGAAATTACGTTAAGAGATATTTAAATTAGATTAAATCTTTCGGAAGTTTTCGGACACTTTTCGAATTAAACAAGTTTCAAATTTGTGCTCGTCAATAGAATCGTAGCCCTTTTTGATTTCAAATAGTGATTACCATCTAATTTCTCCTTACAATATCACCCCTGAATCACACATTAAAGTCACAAAAAGGCAATGATCACCAACTGAAGAAATTCTTGATTACTGAACAAATTCTCCTTGTCAACACCTTGAGAAATGTATGAGAACAGTATGGAGATTATGCATACTGATATTAGGGTGTATGAGGTTAAAGATGAAACCATATGGGTGGTTTGTAACTTTCCGAGAATGAAATCGGATATAAAAAAAAAATCATCGTGAACTGTGTCAAAAGATGGCGGGGGGTGGGAGGGGGGAGTAGGGATAACATTTGATGGTATAGTCTGATCGTCCGGGTGACAGTAGTCCTAAGAAGGACTGACACTGTCGGTAGTGGTGACTGACATTTCCACAACCTTAGCGGAAGTCATCGTCCGGGTCGAGTGAAGTTATAAGTTCAGTTCGAGTGAACTGATTGGTCGGTTGAGGTTGTTGAAACGTCGGTCACAGCCGACAACAGTCCTTCTCAGGAGAACCTCTCCCGGCGTTACAAATTTTTTGGAGGATTTCAGAAAGGGAGCAGCGGACCAAGTTAATTGCACATATTAATTTCTCACCTGTGTCACACAGGGTAAACCCAAAACAAACATGATCAGGCACACGGCCAATACAACGGCTTCCCTGTATCTATGTAGTATCTCGGGGTATTGGTCAATGATGGCGGCTGCTACTACTTCTACTTGTCCAAACTGATAAGTTCCAAGTGAGAGAGGCACAGTACGGGCGAAATAAGGACGTAAAAATGTGAAATAAAACCTTATCAGGTAAATAAATCAAGTCTGAATTCTACGTGCAACTCAGAAAAGCTGAATGTACCTAAACCGTAAGTGAGAGCTCAGAAATGATTATAAGTGCTGTCAGAGCAGCCAGTTTCCTTGCTAACCCACATGTCAAGGGCCGGAAAATGAATACGACTAAATCACGAATGGTGACTTAAGTCGTATCTGATCGGCCGAGCCAGAGAGATCATGTAGCTTGAAGAACCAAACACTTTTTTTCTGACCATGAGTGTGAAAACGCTCGTGATTAGATTACAATTGGCAACTCTTCTTGTATCTAACTGGCTGAGCTGTTAGGGCCATGTAGTTTGTGCAACCAATTAAATCAATATATTTCCAACATGAGGTAAAACAAGTTTGAAAGCTTTTTCGTTTAACACGGTTTAGAACTGTTTTCTTCATAGAAGTTGCTTTACCTGTTCTTTATCGACTTCAAATTTAGCACAATGAAAACACAAGTTAATGATAGCTTAGTCTCTAAAATTCAGTTTTTCAGTTTTCCAGTTTCCTGTCGCTGACTTTCTTTTAATTAAAACTGGTTTTATAAACTAAACATGTTTTCCAGCTGTGAACGGGGCAAAAGATAGCCTTCAGTTACCTGACTATCGAGACCAAGGGTTATAAGCATGAGAAAGAAGATCACAGACCAGATCTGTGGTGCGGGAAGTTCTGCTAAAGTGGCTGGGTAGACAATAAACACCAGACCTGGACCTGCAGGTTAAATAACAAGCAATGTCGGTCCATTATTGATGTATAATGCTTTAAACAAACTTGCGTTTAATAATTATTGTCTTAACCCAATTCCATGCATGCAACCATGAGCTCTTGTGTACAGTGGGTTTAATGTAGGTTTCGCCTTTTGTCAGTTCGCCTCATCAAGTACAACAAGTTCGCTCAAATTTTTGTAGTTAACCATAAAATCTTTAACACGTTACCTCACAACAAAACGTGTTTCTTTTTAACGAAATCATGATAAATTTCATCATCAGGCAAATCTCGGTGGCCTCTGTGTTGCGCGAGTGCGTACGTTGAAGACGATATTGATTGATGCTGAGGCATTTTAAAGGAAAAACAGTGTGAGAAAACGGCTTGAAAGATTTAGGGGTTAACCCGTCAAATTTGACACAGCGAATGCGTCAAGGTGGGGCGAATTGGTCAGAAGTCGATGGGGCGAATCGTCCGGACACCCAAAGTAGTCTTTAGGGAGGTGATATAGAAAGGTTTCGAACTTCTTTCGGAAGCATCGGGCGCTAGGAGATCTTAGTTTCTCGTGAGTTTACGATTCATCGGATCTTTCGATCTTGCCGTCGGATGCTCTACGAACTGAGTGACACATAACTCGATGATGTACCGGACCATATACCGCTGAGATAAAGAGTGTAGGAAGCGACTTTTGTGGAAATGGTTATGGCCGGGAATGTCGGGACACCGTCCTTTAAAATTAAGTAATGTACCTTGAGAGGCCACTTCCGCTGGGGTGCTCCCCTGGATATATGCCATGTGGCCCACTACGGCGAACACAACAAAGCCCGCAAACAGGCTGGTGCAGCAGTTGACGAGGGAGATAACCAAAGCATCCCTGAGAGAGAGAAATTCATTCGTTTTTCTTAGAGTCATTTCATAAATCTCTGATGACATCTATTTCAACTCTTAATTATAAACATTCTTTCGAAGAATGTGAAATTGATTGATAAAGCTGTTCATTATGCTTTGTTCTGTAGGAAAATTTATAACAAAACAATCTTAGCTGTCAACCACGACAATGCTTAATGTCACAAGAAATGAGAACTCGAAGCACTAAACTGACTCAGGGCGAGAAAATGGGACGGACTGAGTCGGGTTGATCGGGCGGGGCGACTTTCTTGACCCTTCACATCCTAACATGCATGGTCTCCATACTGTTTTCTATACCTTTTCTGAGGTGCTGACAAGGAGAATTTGTTTAACAAACAAGAGCTTCTTCGGTTGCTGATCATTTTCTTGATTTTCATGACCTTAAACTAGGTTTACTCTAGTAGAAATTGTTCAGATACGTGGCGAATCTGGTACGTTTTAATACCGGATTCGTTTTGCCATTTTTTGCCACAAGTAGACAAATTCAAAATAAAACCTTCCCTCTTTAGTCGTGTCTCCAGAGATTTTGTATCCTAAATTTAACGCTAGAACATCGAATCCTAAATTTTTAAATCCGGAAAGCTGATTCCTGTAAACGATTTGATGAACAAATCTGAGTACTTTTCCGCTTGCGATCTTTAGAGTTTGCTATCCTTTCTCGGGTGAACAGGCTGACATCATGAGGCAATCCATCATGTTGTTCATATATTGTGACGAACTCGTTCCTGATATCTTCGTATTTGCTTTTGATACCCTCCCGATGTAAACCTTCGTAATCTTTTTGGAAGGAGTATGCACGGACGACTTCGAGCAGAAGTTCAACTTCGTCATCTGTCCAACTTAAATTAGAATCTTGATCGACTCTAGCCGTTTTTTTTTGGCGGCATTTTGTTGTCATCGATCGCGGCAAGAAACAGCCTTGTACCCACACAATTCAGAGTGTTTGCGGATTAACTGACGTGTGTAAACGGTTGGGAATCCAGATACACATTGGGTGTAAACGCTTATGAATCCAATAACCCTAAAGTTGATGAATTCAGTAACATTTACGAATCCGAAAAAATCTCCTCTGGAATAAACTAGTCTTAATATTTGCTGCAGAGGAGAAATTCGATGCCTCTGACTGATTCACTCTCGGAGATTAAGTGGTTAAGTGGTTAGACCACTCAGTAAGATTAACTCTTTCACTCCCAAGATCTAATTAGTAATTCTCCTTACTATCTGCCATACAATTCTTATGATGTATGTTCAGAGAATTTAGTATTGGATCAACTAATAATCCCATGATTGATATTCTTCTCTATTCTTATCACCTGCCTGCTTGATATTGTATTGATAATGTAAGGAGAAATTCTGTCTTGGTCACTTGCGGGAGTGAAAGGGTTAATGAAGTAACAATTCTTCAATCCTGAACAAAGCGACTGAAAACTGCTATGTTTGAAGTAAAACTATTCACACTTACTTATAAACGTTGTTCTCTTTTTTGTTGTAGCTTGCAAATCCTATGAGAACTCCAAAACCGATTGTCAACGAATAAAGGATTTGTGATGCTGCATCGATCCAAACCTTAAAGAAAAAGGTGATCTCTGTTGAATCTTATCAGTTTGAATTACTAACCTAAATAACATCCTTTAGATTGTGATAAGCAATCGTTTCCCGTTCTTAACATATTACAACTTTCATTTCGGTGCTTATCTGCAAGGAAATTGTGAGTTTTCAATTGAATGAGGCGCGACGGAAGTTTACGTTCACATTTTAACGTTAAAATTGTGATGCTGTCACAGGCGACCAGCTCCGTTTCCAGTGGTAATATTTCGTTTGACCGCTTTTAGCGGCTTTCACGTATAGCATTTGGTGACGCCCAGCTCTTGAGATTCGGTTATCATCGGAAACAAGAAAGGTTGCCCGTGACAACATCATAACTTTAAGGTCAGAACCCGTGACAACATCATAACTTTAAGGTCAGAACCCAGTCACCAAACTGTTGCTGTACCTCACTCAACTTGAAATCGAAGTGAAAGGCCTATGCCGGAATGTTAAAAACGGTCTTATCGAGGACACGCAAATTAAACCTCATTTAACCTCATATTATTGGCCATCCCTAGACCTTCAAGGATGTTAAAACATCCATGAAGGTCTAAGGATGGCCAAGAATGGAGAAGATTGAAAAAGATTCAAAGAAACGATTTTGGAAACCTTAGGCCGAATTTTTCAAGGTGAACAAACGGTGACGCAGATCTCAAAAAGTGATTTACCTTCGGGTCTGCGAGTCTTGACCAAACCGGTGTCACGTAGTACACCATACCGCTTGAAGATCCGGGTAGTGTCAATGCCCGGATGAAAAGAATGATCAAGAACACGTAAGGTAACGTAGCTGTGACGTAAACGACCTTGCCAGTTGTACGAATGCCTTTCCAGATGCAGAAATACACCAGTACCCAGGCCACAAACAAACATGCTACCAATTTAAGGTTCATATAGCCAGGTTCGTTAATTCCTTCAGACATGTCAAGAACATTGTGTCTGTAGAGAGATTAGAGAATGAAATGTTACATTAAGCTAACACCCTAAAGCTGATAAATTTGTCTGTTCTCGATATACGTTTGCTGAATGAAGAGTTGGTATTAATATAAAAAGTTATTGCTTGTGATTCCGTTTATTTTTCATCCTATGTAATTAGCCTCAAAAGCAGCTGGTAACAGTTTTCATACTTGTGGCTTTTATGGTTAAGTTCTTACACCAGAGCTATTTCGGTTGTTGGGAGAAATCGCAAATTCCAGTCAGTACTTTTGGCTAACCATTGGTGATATGCAGTTATCATCATATCGACAAAGCATGCTGCCTCAGAAAAGAAATGATTTTTAACACGCAATCTTGATTTAAAAAACAACCAAAAAAAGTTAACCCTTAAAAGCGCTAAATTCTCGTCAGACGCGGCGTTTGTCTCGAGCATGGGACAGCTTATTGACTCTGATGAGCATGACGCATAAGATAAATAAGATAAGACGTGTCAAGGGTACTTACATGAAGAATTCCCTGCTCGAAGACACCCTCGTGGTGTTTGTGATATTGCTTTTTGAGCCGACTTCGTAACAGCTGTCCGTATTCCAGGTATGGTGACAGCCAACCCAGGGGATGTCAGGCTTAAATGAGTTATAAAGATAGTAGATACTCCAAGCGAGGATGACGTTGTAATATACAGATACTAAAAATGATACGGTCACCATGGCAATGCCAACACCTAAGAAGGAATAACAGTAGTCGTTAATTTTTTTTTAACAAAAAATATTTCATTTTAAGTGTTCTCATTGGTTCACTCAACTCCAGTTATCAGCTCATATTCCGAGTCACCTTATATGGAAATACATTGCGCCAACTGGTGCAAAGCCCAAAAAAAGGCTCTAAGTATCCGAACGTTCAGGATTTAATGGAAATTGATAAAACAATTATTCCATTCAGTGATATGGTAATGGTTATGGCCAACTCGGCGCGTCATATCTCAACGGGCGCTCATGGAAAATTGAAGAGAGTAATTCACAAAGTCGTCGCTATGTTCGGCAAAGTAGCAAAGACACAGCAGGAAAAAATAAAGCAGATTTTGCATGAGAAAAAACTTTTAAATAATAGTGGATGGAAGAAATGAAACCAACGAAGAAATATGGCATCAAAGCTTGTCTTCAGCCAGTTACATGGCTTAGATGTCGGATTAACAAATGTTGTTGATGACAATCATTTGAGTAACTTGGACGGAAGTCCTTATCGGAACGATCGCATAAGGTGACGTAATGCCTCCAAAACAACATGCACCAACGATGTGCACGCACCATTCTTCGTGCCCTTACCTGAAAAGAGAGGGGAGATTTTTGCCCACGCTTTAATAGGCCCTGCCTGAAGAATTTGTCCAATGCTGAGTTCCATGAAGAACAAGGGAATACCCCCAAGGAGAAGAAAACAAACGTACGGGATAAGAAAAGCACCTAAATAGTAAAGAAAGATCATATTTTAAATTTCTTTTGTAATGTTAAAATCGAACAACCATACAAGGGAAAAATGAATGAATGAGTAAATAGATGAAATACCTATATAGGCGGAGCCTCATTCCCAGGGAGGAAGAGAGGATCCTGGAAACGAGGTTATCACGACAATACAATATATTCTAACCAATTCATTAAAACGCAGCGCGTATTTCTAGAGAAGCGTTTCTGGCTTTTCCGCTCTCATTGAAAAAAAGATGATAATTTGAAACACGAGATACTCTGCATGGTATGATAACTAATACTTCGCATGTATTAAAACTGATCCAAATCCCTTTAAGAACTTGCAACGATGACCTAACCATTTGACCCCCCTTGCGCATCTATCTTCTCCTTACACCATCACCCCTGAATCACGCATACAGGCGATGAGAATAAAGGAAATGATCACCAACTTAAATAGCTCTCAATTGTAAATTAAACTCTCCTGGTCAGCACCTTAGAAAATATATAGAGAACAGTACGGAGAATATACATACTGATGTAAGGGCGTAAAGGTTTAAAGAAACAGCAACGATTACGGTGTAAGTTTATATTAAGTCATACCTCCACCATTTCTAAAGCACATGTAAGGAAATCGCCAGAAGTTCCCATAACCCACCGCGAACCCGATACAAGCGAAAAGAAATTCGAGTTTTTTTCCCCAGTGCTCTCTCTCAACAGGCTCTGGTCCAATCATCTCAACACAGACTTACCAGCACTTCGGCTGTTGCGCTTTCTATAAAAAAGGAAACAGTCAGGTGTAAATGATGAATTTGTCAAAGAAGCAAGTTTTCCAGTCAAACGTTTCACTCTGAGCGAGACATTTGCATGTTATCGGAATTAGTTTTGACTTTGTCTGAAAAGGAACACATTTTGCTGTCATGAAGCGCGTTGAAGAACTTATAAGGGTGGGGGCAAACTTGTTGCCTTTGATGAGGCGAATTCTTCGTAGTGGAGCGAGCTAGCAAGTAGAAGACTGGTACTAGGAGTACCTCCGTAAACCGATTCAGGAGAAACACCCGTAAATGAATTTAGGATTGTCATTAGTAAAATCATTATACTGTCGTAGCAAGCATGGCGTGTTGCCGGGGGTTATGCTCCCCTAGAAAAAAATTTGAAATTTGAAACTCTCAGAATGTGACTCCAGCATTCTGGGGTATATATTTTAATGATTTTATTTTTGCCAGACATCGATGTTAGAATCAGTTCAAAACCACTTATTTTCTGCCTTTTATCAAAATTCACGCAGAAGCTGGCGCATATTAATCTGACAGCCGGCGCATTTTTGCTGCTTATCGGCCTCCAATGACAATCCCTTCAATAGATCAGTCTTTTATCATGGTAGACACGTGGCGTTTGTCTCGATTTGTACACCATTACAAAGTCTGGTGTCAAATCTCATTGGTAATCTTTTTCGTTCTATTTTCATAGATTTAATGCTGAGGCAGGGGTAGTTTTTGATAATGCAGTAAGCTTAATTTTGTTTCGTCTGTTAAAGTTTGGTGTTTTCCATGAGGTCTAACTCATTTCTCTGTTTGCTTTGTTTTTGAAATGTTGAATATTTTGTTTTGTAAACACCACATGTTGAAACCTCTGTCAAAGGAATCACATTTTCCTTGATTTAGACACAAAGAACAACAATTGGCTTCTGTAAAGATGTAAAAGAACAACTTAAGCACTGCCTTGCGTACATGCATGTTTAGAGACCTCAACCAGTCGGAACGAAAACGCGATGGAAGAGGTCGATTTTAGTATTAGAATTTCGCGAATGGCTGGATGTGTTTACCGTCTCTAACGGCGCCACACCTCTTCTGCGACATACAAATGTATGTAAGCAGTGATGGGTTCCAAATACAAAATTGAATAATTTGCCCACGGAGTTTCTCTTCTCAGACCACGCAAATTTTGGTGATTCACGTCGTTGTTTTGCAAAGGACGGCTAAGAAATGTTCAGAGTTATAAAATGCACCTGCTGAGTTATTGTTCTGCCCATTAGATGTTTTGTTTTGCCTCGTCCTAGTTGCCATTTTCGTCGTCATCCTGATATCTATTATTATCGAGAGCATTTTAAAGGGCTTTCAAGTGCCTGCACTCACCTTTTTTAAAGCTTTCACAATGTCTACTCAAACCTTCCAAGTATCTTCAGATGCAAAGATAATGTGATTTTTGTCTCCGTCAAGACGATAATGGTCATTGCGAAGCCTATGAGTCAAATTTCACTTTTTTCAATCTTTCAACGCCTCTAACTGCGGTAGGATTCCAATTCGTTAAGTTTTGATAGCGCTGAAGTAGATTTTTGTGACGCAATAGTAGAGTCGCGTAGAGCACAGTCGGTAATAGTTAGTACACGCGCGCTGGCGGGAAAGATGACGGCATCGTCATTTTCCTGTCAAAGTTTTGAGAGGAACTTTAAAGACACTGAGAAGGAGCCAGTTTCTCAAATTTTTTTATGGGAATAAAAATTTAGAATAAAGCTTTTTTTCTTCATCTAGTTCTAAATTGACAAATCAAGCAGGGAATGGCGATAATAAGGAGCAAAGAAGCGAATCCATTGAAATTATTTAGAAATTCAAATAACGTAGAACGCTGCCAGAACGCTGCTATTTCGCAAGCGGGGAAAGTGACTAAGAGATGCAATATTATATAGTACTCGGACCAAATTTGTTTATTTAAAATTTGCCGGCTTTTACAACCAAAATATGCGGTTTATGACCGTTTCAGAGCTGGGGAAGCAGTCCATACGGCAAAAGACAGATCGAGTAACTGACCGATCAGAATGCTTGGATTTACCTCAGGACTACCTTGCCATATAATGAAGAGAAGAATGCCATCTCCTTGAGTCTTGTCAATGATAATTACTAGAAAAAGTGGATACGATATTTCGTAAATATCTTCTAACTAGATAAATTTTGTTATTATTATTATTATGGTGTCTCATCCAAGAACACACAGGGAAGGATTTTTGGGGTCAGGAACTAAAGTTAAACCTCTTGCCGACTCGCGTTACTTTCCCGCAGGCGAAGGAAAGCTGATAATAATGATGGTATTCTCGCACGCAAGGATCAACGGGAAAAAAGCCACTCTATACGGAAATATGCTCCGCTCGACAAGAATAAAACGGTTCTTAATCCGGCAATCATCAAATTTCACATTTCGTTAGTGTTCATATCAAAATGATTTTATTTACATTCATCACGTAAATCCCAAATACTTTCACACAGTTTCATTTACAGCTGCTTCGAGAGAGGTTGTAGGAAAAAAGGACAAAAGTGCACGCGGCAATCTCGAAAGGTAATATGGGTATTTCCGATGACAGGAGCCATTACTTATTTGATGGGCTCCTGCCGATGATAAATGAATTTTAATGAATAAAATATATAATAAGTTTGTCAAACCCACTATGTCTCGTCCTTATCTCGTACCCAGTTCCTAAGTGCTTTACCGTGGAACTTCTGAGTACGAGACTAGCCTCGTCTTTATAGTGACGTTTTCTGAGTTTTCCCTGAAATCCTGAGGTCAAGGAGCCGTGACCTGAAAACTGCCCACAATACTTTCTGGGTTGTCGCCCGCACTTATACCTTTTTTTTTGCCGGCAATCCATCTTGAAAGGGGTTAGTTTGGAGACCAAGTTAAGTCAAATGGTACTCAAGATCCCCCCAAATAATATACAAAGTGGTGTTTCCTAGCTTCCAATATTATCTGATAATGTTTCCATTGTTCTATTTTGCTACAAAATACGTGGGCAATGCCTTGAAGATTCTTTTTTTTTTTCAGTTATGTTGTATTTTCAGCGTTGTAATTTGATGCTAATTGCGGTTTTTTTGGAGCAATGGATGATGGGAGCCCATCTGTCATTCAATGAGAGATTCAGTTAGGAATGGACCACCGACCTAGATGAGTTATTTTTACGACATTCACATTTTTTCCTGATAAAAAATTGTTATAATCATCCAAAAATAATAAGCGCCTCCAATTACTCTATCCTATGAGCTATTTCATCTTTAAAAGGATAATAACCTTGGAAATCTTGACATAGCTGTCGTCGCGTTTGATTTTCCTTCAGGGTTTTTCCTTTTTTTTGATCTGCACCGAATCAAACTTAGGGGCCAGTTTTGCACAAGCCGTTGATTGATGTATAGTACGATGAAGCTCAAGATTAACTTGTGTGATTAAGATTTTTGGAAAGCTTTTTAACTGTAAGAATAACTAATTCGTGTTCTTTTAAGCTACACGGTGGAATACACGAATACCACGCTGTCATATTTCTTTCCGCCCCTTCTTTTATTCTCTTCCTGATCCTCACTTTTTAAGAAGCCTTTTTCTCTATGGCTTCCACCTTTAATCGAAGACCTCCTCAAACTTCCGGAGAGCGAGTTTCCCTTCAAGCTCGTTCTACACAAAGATGAAGTTCTACTAAGCGGGCTTGGAACCAGGCGTTCTTTACAAAGCAGGGCGCGTGCAATGTAACGGAATGTGGCGATCATCTCACTGTTCCTAAAGGCATACACGACGGGGTTTAACGCGCTGTTGCCGTAGTGACAAAATTTAACGAGTTGAATCACGCGGAAAGTGCGTTGTGAGGACGGAAGGTAATGTGGGTAATATGTGCCAATCATGGTAACGACAAAAAGAGGCAGCCAAGCTGCAACGAAGAGTCCTGTAATGAACGCCAGCGTGACAGATAGCCTTAGGTCTTTTTTGTACGCTTGCCTCACTGCACGGTGCTGACAAATGCTCTTTTTTCCGGGTTGGTTACGAGCAAAACGATAGATAAATAAATAGGCGAAGAAAATGACGATGAACGGGATGAAAAAGCACGTGAACGCCACGAGAAGCGTGTAAACGTCTTGCCAATCACCAGCAAACTGCACGGGTTGTAAACTTGCCACAATAGCTGCATACAACCACGGTATAGCGATCATGACGTAGAAAACTTTTATGGAGAGAGTTCTGTGACGTAACGGGCAGACGATTGCGTGACAACGCTCGACACTGAGCGCTGTAAGCTGCAGAATGGAAGCTCCTCCGATGAAAATGTCAAAGGTAATGTAGAATATATAGGTTGTTTGGGTGGTCGAAGCATACTCGTAATATGATGTAGAAATGGCCAACCAGCAGGGAATTGAGACAAACCCGACAAGAATATCGCTGACGGCCAATCCCATGATTAAAGTGTTTGTGGCGGTGCGGAGGCGTTTGTTTATAAAGAACGCGGATAGAATGAGTCCATTACCGGTTAAAATTACTAACATTAACACAGCGTAGAGACCGATCATTATGGCTAACTCCAGATGCGAGATTTTGGCCAGATAGCTGGATGAATTCGTACTTTGATTCATGTTTGGGAAAGCCAGTGCTTGGCCAGTGTTCCGTCAGAGAGTACTGTTAGTTAGATCCTGCAAAGAAAAACGCGAAAATGAAGATGTAGATTGGAAACAAGGAAGTGTTAGACTCATTAGTAAAATGGCTGTAGCTACGCTAGATCGACGTACTAAGTTCAGTAGACAATCTGTGTTGAAAAAGCGTTACCGCTAAACAAAACCAACCACTTTCAAATAAGGAAAAAGGAATACCATTCTGAAAGAAACCTCAAAATATGGGTTAATGCATGGTCGATCATTAAGCATGCTGAGCTGTTGGTGGAGAGAGAGGGTGAGAGTAACAAAACCTAATTAGATCAGTCACGTTCTTTCCGTGTTTCCTAGGATATTCCGAGTAATCAAAACGACTGATTCCTCTGTGCCAATTATTTTTTATGTTTTGTTGTGTGGAAATCCGAGAGCAACTGTGCATCTTTTCTAGCCTGATGAAAACTCAAACTCTTTGATTTACAGCCGCGCAGCAAAACTTCAACCCTTTCACTAACAAGACTTGAACGTCAGTTCTCTGCAGTATCTGTCATATATTTCTTACACATATCTGTCATATATCTCTCACATATATCTGTCATATATTTTAAGCTCAGGAATTCAGTGTTAAGCCAAACGATATCCACTAGTTAATATTGTGCTTTCTGTTTATCGTTTTTCTGCTTACAATTCTAATGATATAAAAGAGTGAAATTTTTTCAGGTCTTTCCTTTGAGAAACAAGGCCACAGGAGCTTGAATTCATTTTTGCGAAAGGCTCAAGTACCTTTCATGTAAGGCGACGCAAAAAAGTTAAGTACTTATAAAAGAGGCAGGTATATAAGTGAATAATAATAATTGATGTAGAGATAATAACAACGGTGGCCAAGGTCCGAGAAGATATAGCGGACTGCGACGACGACCTTAAAAATATTTAGGCTAATATTCTTAGAAATGAAAAAATCGGTCATCTTATTGCATCGTTTTCATTAAATGTCAGAAAACTATGGAAATACTAAGTTTGCGAAGGAAAACCAAGTTACTAAGTTAGAGTGAACTCTAAAGACGGAGATGAGTGAACAAGGTTTACAATTGTTACATTTAAGAAATTCACGCCAATACTTTTAGATTTACAAACCGTGGCACAGCTTATCGCAAACAGCCGAGATTGAGTGATTCTATGCAAACTGCAGTCCAGTGGCTCAATGCGGTGCTGTTTCGATTCGAATTGGTCGGTTCTGACAGTTGAAGGGAAAAAAGTTCTTTAACGATCCTCGGACAAAATAGCGGGCGAATTGACAACACATAAACGGATTATTTTTTTTGTAGTGCACACCTACAGATATTGCGAAATTGCATGGCGGTCAGCTGCACGTATAACAACCGTCGCAAATATTTCCTGTTTTTTAGTTCTTTCTTTTGTTGCTCTGTACACAGAGATATATAAAATGCGAATAACACCTAGGGAGCTATGAGATTAAATGCAGGCAAATAAGGAAAACTACCTTATTATTTTATCTTGAAATTGAGCAATAAAAGAAAACAGTGGTGGCAAACTTTGATAATATAAGTCTCTGTTTACACTCGAGAATTGAGGTTTAGGCGCTATTGTTTTTAAAAGTGAAGTGCTTTGCGCTTTTTGGCTTGTCGGGATTTGTTTTAGGTCAGTTTTTACCACAGTTCGTTCGTGGTCGAGGTAAAGCGGGTGTCCTTATTTTAGATTAAACGTGGCAATTTTTGAAAAAATTTCCTCCTCTTCCTTTTTTCAGCTTAAGAGGCTTTCCAACTTTCTATCAAACCAATGGTTAAAAAAAAATCCGATTTTAATTAATCTATCTCAGAGACCGATTGTTATTGAAAAAAGATTTGCAAGACAAAAAAAATCTGAAGTAGAAGTCAATTATTCTAAAAGTTTTTTATCGAAATTTTAATAACACTGTCGGAAATAAATAAACATGTAAAGTACTTTGCGAAGCTTAGAATAAATAACTGCTCGAAGTACCGGAACGTTTGTCGATCAGATCGAAAGAACAAATGACTGGGTTGAAAAACGAGTCAATAATTCCGGTGGACAAAGTGTCTACCTATTTGAAGGACCTAGATTTGAATTGGAAGTTTGGCTATTCAATTTATCCCGCAAGGTTTAACAGCTGCATTTTCAATTATCCTTTTGCAATTTCTAAAACAGCTCCCTGCTTTGCTTTTACTCAGATTATACGAGATTTGACAAGTTTTCTTTAACAGTTTTTTGTTTATTATTACAATATGATGCCTTCTTTCAAATTAGAGGATGACTTAATCGTACGTGCTCAAAAAAAAAAATCGTTATCACCGATAAATTTTTTTCTGATATGCTTGCTATCAATTCCTTCGATGTCAGAGATAAAAATCCCTATAAAAGTGTGAATGATGAAATGAACTCATACATAATGCATGGTTAATTAAAGAATGAATCAACCTTATTACCTCGTTCGCAATATGTGGTTTCGTTGCTCAATATGTCTGTAATAGACGCACGCAAGAGCTCCTCAGGGTGGAGGTGAAAGTTCCATTTAATTAGGCTTCGCTCCTTACAAGTGGAATAGTTCTTGGAGCAATTTTCAATTGAGAATCCAAAGAAACCCGGGACTGCTTTGATTGCACTTAACTTAGCTCTGTGATTGGTCCGGGAAACTCGCATCACCTTCTCAACCAATCGGATGAAAAGTAAAATCAATCACGACTACGTCAATCGCGTTTTCCCGCGCTTCAAGCAGTTTGTTTAGTTTCGCTTAAAGTTCTCATTGGCCAAAAATAATGTAAACCTATGTTCTGATTGGTCACTGCACCCATAAGCCTTTAACTCCCGTGAATGACCAAGACAGAATTTCTCCTCACTATATCTATACAATATCATGCAAACAAGAGATGAGAATAATGAAAAATATCAATTATCGGATTACTAATTGATCTGTTACCAAATTCTCCACAATAACATAATGAGAATCGTTTGGCGGACAGTAAGGAGAATTACTAATGAGATCTTGGGAGTTAAAGGATTCATACACCTCCGAAACCGATTTTCTGCACGTATGTTAAAGAAGCTATGACATGATCAGCACTAACGTCAATAACTTTCCGCATTTAATGTTGTCCGCACTAAGGCTTGTGCATTTCAAAGCAATTTCTATTTTTAAAGTTTGATTGCAAAAGAAAGACGTCCATTTTCTCTTTCATACAGATTTTTAAAATTACTCCTCTGCAATCAAAAACCCATTTGAGTCAGTCTGGCATGTCACTAATTCTCTATCTGAGGTCAATTTCTACGTTTCCTTTCACTGGAAAAATGAAAAGGTCGAGAAGTTCGAGGACTCTTCATAACGCTTATACCACACAAGCTAAGAGACTGTTACGCAATACGAGTGCAATGCACTATGAAAAACTTTCACTTGTCAAAACTCAGTACTAATAATTTTGTGACGGTTTTTGTCGTCGTTCGTGTTAACTCAGAATACACAAGCACCAGATTCGATTTTTCATCAATTTTCGGTACGCCCAGTTGTGACTAAACTATAATGGTCAAGTCCTAACTTGCATTTGATGATTTGTATTTCATTACAAAGATTTTAAATCTGACCGATCGCATATTTTTTTCAGCGCAATTATGGTGTTGTTTTCTTTCGCCCTTTTTGAGGTTAAATCAGTGCAAATTTAGCAAATAATTTTCCCAACGCCGAGATGGGCGAAATGTCTTTGCAGCAGTCAGCACTCTGAGACAATTACCTCATTAGAACAAGGCGCTAAAATCCTCGACAAAATTCAAACTAGCTGGATATCGAGAGAGAGATTTTATCACATTCTCCATGTGACACGAAGCAAATTGTCGCTGCGACTTGCTCCTGCTGCTATTGTGAATCTTGACCTGTATACTTACAACTGCGTTGATTTGCAAAGGCTGTTGTTGTCCTTTCAAATATTGGAAGTAAAACTGAACCATGAACTCAAATCCATGAACAAAAGATGAACTGCTCTTCCAACAGCTGAAATGTTAGTTTACGTGTTTCAAGGTAATTCAAGGCACCTGATTAACGCGTGATTTTCTATTTGTCACTCTATCCCTTGTTTTTTGAATCGTGAGCAAACTTCAACGACACAGCGTCAGAGAGGTAAATCTCCATGCATTTTATAAGTCTCGCAGGTCGTGAAGTACACAATTTGATGGATTGCTCGCAATTAATCTTCCCATTTGAACAACGGACATTCTGAAAGCCCTCATTGACAACTTTGTCGTATTATCCGGGAGTACAATGACAACTCTATATAGTTTCCGAAAAACCTGTCATCATAAATGAAAAGGACACAAAAACAAAAAGATTGATCGCACGCGTAGGCTGCAATAGGTATTTTAGGAAGCCATTGGCACTAATACATAATGTAGTCTGGCGCCAAAAACAGTAAAACTTATTACCTAAATATCGGGTACTGAACATTAATTGGTTACTGTAAGCCAAGATGACCAACATGGGTGATATGCTCTCTCGATAACACAGTAATAGGAGATAAAAATGCACAGACACGTCGAAGGAAGTGTCAAATTTACGTCTCTCGATTTCAAAGAAGCTTCGAGGTCCATTAACGAAATATCCGCATTTTTGCCGTTATCTTTCACTGATATTGAGCCAAGTTAGATGCTACTTCGTTTAAACAAAAGGGCAGTTTTTTTTTTGTGAAGCAAATGGACCTTTCAACTGAAATCAACCATGTAATCAATAGATTTTTGAACATAGATTTAAATCGGAAAACGTTGGTGAGTGATTTCACAATGGTTCTACCGGTAAAATGTTTTTAAGGATATTTATGTCAAATTCAGCTAGTCTATGAGTTATTGTTTTGTTGGACATTTCCCAAGCATTCATTTACAAGCAGTGCATACAAATGAAGGTTTTTATTGTGAAAACTCTGTTCACGGCGAGTGCTTGTCGTTTTTATCCTCTTCAAGTTCTCCAAACATTTTTTGAAGTAACTTTGAAGACATTTCGAACACGTCTTGAAAACGTCGATCTTAGCCTACCACACAAAACCGTAAACTTAATAAAAAAATTTTTGCTTTTTGCAAAACACAACTCAGCTGTTTGTGTCGATAAACACTAAACTAAAAACACGAAATGGAGGGTACGTTCCGCAACATTATAAATACAGGGTTAACTTGGGAAAAGCGATGAAACAAATCAAGACCTTCTCGTCAGTTTCATGAATATATTCTCTGGTAAATTTTTTGACCAGCTGATAACGTTTTTCGCATCATTACCTTTTCGTGACCTCTGCAGGGAGATATTATTGATTGGAAGGAAATATCGTCGATAACTTAAGATCCTAATGGAGACAGAGAAATATCAGAAAGAATACGTTGAACTTTTTCCGCTTTTTTTGCGAGCCTGATAATTCTAAAAAGGCGTAATTTGCAAGCTAACAGAAATTTAAAAATTCCTGATTTTGATGTAAAATTACTAACCTTGTCTCCAGTTTGAGCAAATGTTGATGTTTGACCATTTTAGATCAAAAGAAACTTGAATCGATATTAAACCTATTCTTTGACCGAAACATAATACAGTCATTGTTATGGCCTATACAAAGTATCGTTCAAGGTGATAACCAGCCTACAAACAATGTTTTTATGCTCCCTGTTTACGTAATGCAACAATAAAATTTTTGCCGAACAACTTAATTTCAACTTAATTCGGTTTTAGTCCCACTCTGACGATAAATAAAGAATTTTCATCTTGAACAGCTCTTTTGCATTGTTTTCGTGACCGAAAACAGTTTATTGAGGTATTTCTTGGAGATTATAACGATTGTTCATTTTGCTAAAAATAATTTTTAAAAAAACCGACTATGAAATCTTTGATCAACAGCTGCCCTGGATATAAATATAAACCCGCTTCGTAAATATTTTGAGATACTTTGTAAATAGGATACGTACGCATGTTAGGAAATTTCCTTGTTTTGTTTGTAGTTTTAGAGCCGGTGTACTCAGGATGAATTGGAAGAATCACTTTTTGAAGTCGCCCTAAGTCATACGGGCTTACTCGGTCGATTACATCTCTGAAATTAACATAGTTAAACCAACTTTGCAGGAATGAATATTAAAAGAAACGTCAAATCTATTCTAAGAGTATAATCTGATTAAAAATGAACCTGAGAATCCGGCAGTACTTAAAATTTCTACAACCTAGAGAAATATCGTGTTAGCAACCATGGTGGCAATGAACTGTCAGTTATAAAAAAAGGGAATTTTTGTACAATCTTGCATGGTTTGTGAGCTTAACATTTTTTCCTCTTCGCGTACTTTACTCTATACCGAGAATCATTCAGCGAACGGATGGCTGGTATTATAAGTATTTTGGAAAGTAAGCTCACTGAAGCCCAGAATTTCTACTTATAAAATCGATACAATATCAAGCAGAAAAGTGATGAAAATAAAGAATAAAATAAATTAAGGGATTGTCAGTGGATCCAATATCAAATTCTCCAAACTAACATCATAAGAATTGTGAGGCAGACAGTAAGGAGAATTACTGATGAGATCTGGGGAGTGAAAAAGTTAGGCAGATGTTCACCCATAACACCATCGCAAAGTGAATAACATATTTCGCAGTTTGAAGTCCTGTTTTGATCGCTAAGACAAATATTCCATCATGTTTTCATGTAGAGATCCTTCTTTTAAGCCACTTTTATTCCATAATGAAACTGGAGATTTCGTTGTCAGAGTGAATGTCTTATAGTTAAGTTCACCATACATACAGAGCATTATCGATTTGAGGAAGTTTTACACTGTTTTGTTGACTAGCTCTTATTTTTCGGCGAAGCTAACTGATATTGTTCCCTTGACCTTTCGCTCACCAACAAACTCGATTTTTTTTCAATATTTCCTTAACAAAATGAAGAAATATTTTAAGTAAGCTATGAGCCTACGTCACTGCTTTTAATGTCCTAAAAAATCATCACTCATAAAAATTCTCGTTTTTCGTTTGAAAACGATCCGAAACAATGTGTTTCTCGTCTTGGTTTATTGTAACATCTTCATTGTTCTCCTGTTTCGTTGAAATTTAGGCGCTTAACTTAAAGATGCGCTTGATTTCAAACGGTCTTAACATGTTTGTTTGTTGTTGTTTTTTTTGCCTTGTGAGTTTTGAGCGTAGAGAAAACCGGCCAACGCAAGCCTCTGACATGACGAACACTGGAAATGAACAACAGCTTTAAGAACCACAAACAACGCAAGCACTTAAGTACGAATTGAATCTAAACCTCTCCTCAATTGTACTTGGAACCCTCATGTTTAGTATATATATCATCCTTAAATTTTGCTACTTACACTTGAATTAGATTTCGGGTGTTAAAAAGATATTGTTTTCGCTATAGGGATGAAATCTTCAGCAAGCCAGCGCAACGCGTTTGAATTCAATCATAAATTATTAGGATGCAACACCTTACCTAACTCAAGGCGAATTATAACCTGGCATTCACTGAATAACGTATTCCTCAGTATTGCGCTAGTGTGGCAGGGCACTGTGGTACCAAAAAAAAGCAGGCGTTTACAGAAGAAATTAATTAAGCACTTCCTAAATTGCCATCATTTACTTCTACGGTGTGGAAAAACAAGTTATTCGGGGGTTTCGAACGCACTTTTTAACGAATTACAATTAGTCATGTCTCCATTTTCTGTCATGTCGGAGGAAACACGCATGATAAATTAGCCGGTTTGTTTTTCAGTGGTGGGTTGAACGGGAAATTTGAACGAGTAGGCTGCAAAAATCATTGCAAGAAATAACAATTGTGCGGTGTTTTTTCATCTGTCATTAGTGGTTCAAGTGCTTATATTTGCTTTGCTGCCGTTATGCGTGGGCATGCATATGTAGTAAAAGGCTCGCTTGGGAAAACAAGCCTGCAAAATATGGCGAATGGATAATTATGTTCCATCGGCTTCAAAATGACTACTCTTTTCTAATCATTGTGGTACCTGCATTATAGTCTTGGTTTTTTTTTTTCTGCTCATACGTCAGTTTTCCGTCGTAAGTAGATGTATGAAGATAAATACTGAAACTTCTCTATATGCAATCTTTCCAGAGTTTTCTCGCCATTTATAATTGTGTAAAGGAAGCCGGCATTATTAAGCAGTTCTCACAGCGTGTATATACGACAGTACACCTCGGTCTTGAAGAAACTATCTCGCCGTGATTAGCTCTTACAGCTTTTCTCGGATTTAAATCATTGTGATCTAAGCAATCTTCTGCTAGAAATTAATCCCTTTTCAATTCATAGATAAAAGCTTTACTCCGAGAATAGCTCAATCTTTTAATTCTACAAAATATTCCCCTTAAGAGTATTGACAAAAGAATGACAATGTTCGAATATGTTAACCTTATGCAGCATAAAATTTAGAGACAGTTAACATTTATATCTTATTAAAATGATTTCACGCAGTCATCGACAAAACCACTGAAACCTACTACCATTCTGTAAATAGATAAAAAAAAACTTTCAAGTGAATAAATATCAAATGGATAAATAAATTGATGAAGAGATTGATGACCTTCTTAGCCTTCGTGAACTACCGGAGCTCGGTTCAACATCGAAAGGGGTATATTTTTCTCTAGCCAGCATCGAAAAAGAAAAAAATGTGGAATACATCCACAAAAGCATCAGCCACATCTTCTGACAATTCTGTATCAAAGAGACCAAGAGCAACGATCACATCTTCGAACAATTCTGCATCAAAGAGGCCGGTAAGGGTTATGAATAATTTCTGTCGGGGGTGATGGTTGTGAACAAAAACAATTTAAT